AAAAAAAAAATTTAAAAAAAAAAAAAAAAAAAAAAAAAGTGAGAAATAAGCAGCCAGAGATATAGGCTCTAAATAGCCAGGTCAGACTGGCAGAGAGCAAGTGGCAATCTGAATTATACTGAAGGTGTCAAAGAGGCAGGAGTGAAATAGAGGAGAGTCTCAGGGGATCTGAATATTACAGGCTCTTGCCCCTGTGCAGGTAACAGGATGATTATTTGTTTTCTGCTAATGGACCTCACTGCTTGCATTGTTCCTGTCATGCTTAGAACACTTGCTAAATAATGAAAAAGAAAAGGATTCTTCTATTTTAAATGAGTAATTTGTTGCCAAAACATATTTATAAAATTAGTCCCAATGATGACAAAAAGATATTCTACATGGCTAGTCTTATAGGCCTCTATGCTGGAACCTGTTGAGAATTGAATGTTGCTGGAAAAGTTATATAGTGCTATAACATCCAAATGCAAGAGCAACAGCAAAAAAGAGTGGTATCTCTCACATCCCCCATTGGAGCATTCTGGGTGTGAATCAGAAGACTTGTAAATAAAGTATTTATTGCATCAGCAGAAATGAAATGCAGATGCCACATGTTTAAATGAGATCTTGATAACACTACAGTTAAACAATTACTGTCTATGTAAAGGACACTGATTATTAGGAATGTCCTTGTCTTCTACCTCTTTTCTTACTTTTAACTTCTTTCTCTCCCTGTCAATCTTCTCTGTTCAATCTTCCTCACCTCTGCAAAGGTGACAGACATGATGCAGAAAGCCCTCTTTGACTTCCTGAAGCACAGGTTTGATGGGAGGTGAGAAATACAGTCCTTTCCATGCTTTTTCCCCCTCTCCCCTGCAATGATTATGACTCTATGTAGTGGCCTTTTTATCCAGGTGATCTTGCTGCATGTTGAACACTGATTCACCAGTGATATATAGCACTGAAATGAAACCACCCCTGGGGTGAAGTAGAACAAAGGTTTTAAGAGTATCTAGCAGTGCTGTAGATTCAGTAGGATTGTTCATGTTTAACAGAGAAAAAAATGCCTCGATATTGTATCTAACTGAAACTGCAGGGGAAAGGTAGCTAGGCAGAATGTCGTTGCCCAAACTGGTATTCGAATAAGGTAAAAAGAAAGAAGTGCCACCATGTTTTGAATAATGGTATTTGGTCAGGATCTTATGTTTCAAATATTGTAGTTGAATGTACCTCCAATAACAGACCCTTTTTGACCCCATGCCATGGTGCTGAATCAATGCTGACTTGGAGGGAACACTGCCACCTACTGAATCACCAGCATACTTTTTGCAATACCAAAGTTTTCCCAGGAGGTCTCTTACTGAAATATTGACCCTGCTCATCTTGTGGGATCTAAAGAGATCACAACACAACATGGCACGGTTGCAGGCCATATGAGTGCAACAAATTAGGTTATTTTCTTTCTCTAAGAGTTACCCAACACCTACTGCTGAATGCTACTAAACAGTTGAAGAAAAAAATTAAATGAAAATCTTTATTAGCAAAGTTATAATAACCAAAAATGTGCTGAATAGCTGACTTGGCAGTATGAGATCTCAAAACATTACAGCTATACAAAATTAAGTGGAAACAGGAAATGTTTTTGAGGTCATATTCTGCTCTCTGGTGTAAACTCTGAATGACTATTTGTTGCCTAGCAATACATTAATATAAAGGAGAGGAGAATATGATCCACCGACTACAAAAAATATTCTAAACCAATATCAGAGTTTCTTGGGTATTGGTTAATTAGATATGGCAATGTCTGTTGCTTTACCAGACCATCAGAATAATTGAAATCTATAGAATCCACATTTTAGTGCTTTTTTCTTTCATGATGAAGTTGCCATTCACTAGGCTAATTTTTTTCTGACAGTATGAGACACTTTTTCTCAAGTTCAAGACTCTTACAGGTAAAACATTCTTTAAATAAAATTAATTGCATTTTGGTACTGGAATAACTATCAGGAACAGAGCAAATTTAAACAGTGTGCAAAGAGAGTGCCTGGGGCAGACACCTCAGAAGTATCAACTCAAACTTTCTCAGTAGTTAAAAATACCTTAAAGATGCAGTCTGGGAAAGACAGTACCCAAAGAGTAATGTTCAGGACAATATGTCAGGTTCTTCAGAAAGTTTACAGAAAATTCAGGAGGGTGAAAGAAGGAGAGAATGCAAAGTAGATAGCTTGCCAGCTTATAGCAAGAAAGGGGAGAATTTTAATTCCTTCTTTAAGAAGGTTTCCCTCATTATTCGCTGTTGACAGGGTTGTTTCCATCCTTGGAAGGCCTGCTCTGCTTCCCCTGCTATCGTGTATGGCACATGAGTGGGGGAAGCTGTGTCATGAAAAAAGGTTGGCGTGTGTCAGCCATCACATGACAGCAACGGGGTTTTTAAAGCAGGTTGCATGCTGTAAACCCAAGGTAATGAAAACTCGTACAGTTAATCTCTCTTGTAGGATTAGTTTAGGGAAATTACTTTGTTTGTATATCCAGCACAATGGATTGTATTCCTTGTTATTTGTTCCTTTTTGTGCTTATTTGTAAATCAGTAAAAGCTCATTCCTAAATTCTTTGAACTCTTCTACTACAGGGAAACCAAATGCTCTCACTTTTCAAAAGATGCTGGGGGTTCCAGTGGCTTCCTAATTCCCCTTGATTTAGACAAAGCCTTGGCTGGGATGATCTAGGTGGGGCCGGTCCTGCTTTGACCAGGGGTTGGACTAGTACCTCCTGAGGTCTCTTCCAACCCTAACTTTCTGTGATTCTATGTAGCATAGAGTGGGCCAGATCCTGCTTGTGGGCATTGGCGACATGTAGGAGCTGCATGCGGGTTGGCTGCTGCCAACGCTGCTGGCGATCTGTGCGGGTGGTCACCACTAGGCACTCGTCATCCAACCCCCCCCCCCAGCCACCAAGACCGCTGCACCCACCTGCGGGTGGTCCCTGCTTGCTGCTGCCATGCCCCCACTGCCGCCACCACCTGCCGGCAGTCACCGTGCCCCCCAGGCCTCAGAAGGCACGAGGTGTTCATGCTTGTGAGCCATAGGCTTTTGTTGAGGCAAAGGCAACAAGCTGTTAGATTGTTGTTCTTCAGGTTGTTCCCATGCAGGTCTTTCTGCATGTGTGGATGGATTTATATTATATTATATTATATTATATTATATTATATTA